ATTTCTTCTTTTAAAAAATGAGATTAGTTACTACTTGATTTGTTTTATTCAACTACAAAAGAAGAAAGGGCATTTTTCTAGGTTAATGAATACAGATACAATCCAGATACATGAAATGTGGGTACTAATGTATATAATTCTGTGGAATTTTATATATCTGGACTATATCTGTATTCATATATCCATCCTAAGGCCATGCCATAATTATACAACCATTCCACTACTGATAGAGAGAGAGGTTCTATCAAATTTTTTGTGATTACAAATTATGCTACATATTCTCTTACATACTAGTTCTTTTATTTCTGTGGGTTAAATTCCTACAGATAATAGAATGCTACATCAAAAGGTATGGCATAATTTTTAGTCGTACTGGTTCATAACTTTCCCAAAGGTTATAACAAATAACAACACACCTGAGGTAATGAGAGGGCCAATTTTTCTGCATATTCATCAATATTAACAATAATTTTAATATAATTCCTCAATTCTTGGTTTTATAAAAATGGAGTTTCTCAATTCTCCTGCTATGAGCATCTTTACTTCATGTCACCTTACTAAGAACTACGGCAAAAGTCTCTCAAAGTACATTTTATATAAGATAATTTTACTTAAATAATTTTCACATTATTATTTTTATTTTTTTAAAAATAGAAACCATTCACTTGCCTGAGGACAAAAGGCTATTGATCATCTCCAAAAATGTAGGATGTACAAACTGGTAATCCTCAAGAAGTAAAACTACCTGCTGTGCTTCAATTCCTGCAAGATGTAGCACCTACAAAATAAGAAAACATTTTTTAGTACCCTTCAAGTATTTTTGGTACAATTAAAAATTATCATTTTATATATAAAGTATGTCACTATCAAGAATTTGTTTAATTATCTTTGAGTAATCAAAATTAAAAGTCAAACTTTAGCCATATAGTTTAGAAAGTAAATCCAAGCAATAAATAAATACCATTTGAGGGAAATTTTAATTATTTTATAGGTAGGACATTAGAAACTAAATTAGAAAAAAAACTTCATTTTTATATATAGCCACATATTTCCTATGTAAATTCCTTCCTACTATT